GAACAATAGTTCAAACGAACAATAGTTCAAACGTACCATAGTTCAAACGGCAGTAGTTCAAATGCGGATCCACCATCTATCTCTGATTAAAATTAAAAACTAACATGATAAAAGACGACTAGACCGGAGAGTACCTGTAGTGAACAACAGATTCCCGCCAATGGAGTCACGTGACCTAATCCGCGTAGCTCAGTGTACTCTTACATTTCGGGGTTTTAACTCCGTAGATTTAAAAATAAATTTAAATATAAAACGTACAGTTCGTTCAACACGTAGACACATTGATTTGTTGACGAAAAAGTGAAAACAGCTAAATCTATGAAGTGTGATGTGACTATATTGATGTATCGTGTTAAAACTTGCTGGACAGTATTTTTGAAAGAATGATATTATCATGAAGAACTTGCCTTTTCATCATCTTTAAATGGATTCATTTTCAAACTTTCTTTTTTCGAACACTTAAAGTTATTTTAACGAATTCTACTTGACAATTCTGCCCATTCAATACATTATTTATGCGTTTTTCAGAAGTAAACAAAATTTTCACTATGACGAATACAGACAGCGTAGAAGAGGATTACAGGTTTATACATTTTATAATGAAATCAGTCCTAACAATAGATTTGCGGACCCCTTCCTGTTTTGGGTAATTTCCTAAAGAACGATTTTTGTACCCCCAGCCCCCCCCTCGGTATATTCCTAGTATANACTACTGGAAACCCTACATCAAGAAAATGTTTGACGAGAAGATCCTGCGTGGAGACGAGGAGAACCTTGCTGGTATCCTGGACAAGGAAGTGTTCGAGGGGAACCTCAAGAACATCAGAAAGGAGTACGAGGTCTACGTCCTCAATATCGGGGAGTACGACGAGAGGGTCTTTGTCGGTGAGGAGGCAAATACAGAAATAGGGACTCCGACGAAAGGGATCGGAGGAGGGATTAAAGACTCCGCCCTGGCTGATAAACTAGGTGTGGCAAGGCGGAACCTTTATGACGAGTTTAGCGGAGCTAGTCTGATTCCGAGTACACCTCTTTCCGGTAGACATTATCTCAGAGCAAGGTTGGCACTAAATAATAAAATATTTTTTAAATTATATTAAATTAAGAACACGTTATATCGTCCTGAAAGTTTTATTTAATAATGTTTATTTATGAAAACTATTATTTTAGAGAACAGCAGTTATCTACACCTATGGGGGTCCAAAAATCGTTCAGTAGGACGAACCCCTGTTTTGTTTACGTTTAATATATCCCCCGTCGACCCACCCTTAATTTACCTTTTTTTCTCATCAATTTTCATGGCAGAAACAAAACTCGGGAACTAAAGAGGTTCAACCCAGACCGAAATTTGTTAAATGTATACCCTTTAATTTTTCAAGAGATGTTGAATTGTCGGATTTAAATGTTCAAAAAAACCTTTGTGAAACGCTTTTGTCAAGACTCAAGTCAAGTAGAAGTTTACAGAATTTTACTGACATCTTTAAGGCTAAGTACTGGTACTAGAAATAAGCAGTGCTTAGGAACCCTATCCTTTGGATCAAAATACTCAACCTAGCTTCTATGAACAAATTTTTGTTTTCAAAACCTAAATCTGAACTGTTCTCTTTTTAGTGGTACTTTCAGGGGTTCATATAATATCATTGGTAACTCGGCCTCCTGTCTGTTCTAGCCGCAGCACTCGGCCCGGAAAGAAATTAAAAATACAAAAATAACTCTAAATTAATGGTTGTGAACAAAATTGATAGGAGGGTGGGGGTCCAAAAATCGTAAACTAGGACGGACCCAATGGGATCTGGGCAGAGAAAACATTTTAGGGGCATGAAAATATACCATGACAAGTTTTATTTGGTGTACGTATACCACACTTCAGAAAAGGGTTGAAAAGTTTAAAAATCAGTAATCAATAATAGAGATAAATTTATAAAAAAATGAACACTCTTGCAGTATACATTCTTCAGTTTGGACTTTTTTTTATACACTTTGACATCATACCTCAGGTTGTTTACAAAAAAACGTGGTTAATTTCTGCCCTAATATCAATCAATCAACACTTGGGCGTAGTAAATGGAATTACCCCTGCCTGGATCCGGATCCATTGTATTTCTATGTGGATCTGGGATAAAATTAATTTCATCCCAAACGCTGGAGCTAAGTTCTTGATTTTATTTTTATATAATGTTCATTGTTCAGGACCCTGTGTGCTGAGCTGAATATGGACGAGGAAACCAAGGAGTTGGCCTGGAAAGCTTACCTTCATACCCGTCAAATTTACACCTTAGAGGGAAACCAACTTCATTGGCTAGCTTGTGCTCTTTATGACGCATGCAGAAAGTAAATATTTTATTTATCAAAATGATGTTTTTAAAGATTCGTAGACATTAGTAGATGTGACTGTAGCAGATATTATCTAAAGTTATTAATAATTTGATTCGTTTTACCCACAAATTTTTATTTTTTATCTTAAGTTTTGCCAGCATTTGAATTAGTAAAAATTTCTATAATTTATTTTATTAAGTGAACTATTATGAAATATATATTAAGATATAAAAGAAATGATATAATACGGGGTGGGGGTTAAGAGATTTATTCATCTTTTTTCTCTTTCTAATGTTATTTTATGTTATTTTAATTCATAATGTTATTTTTCAGATCTTCTGTTCCAACCGTTGGTAAACAGAGCACTGTAATTGGAAACGGAGTTTCTCTAACCCGTCTTTTGAGAAACTGTTCCTTAGCCCTCATACAGTTCTTCGACAAGGCCAAGAAGTGGGCCGATATGAACAATTTAAACGAAACCTTCGTCAAGAAGATTGAGAAACTAAACAGAAACTTTGTCGTCAGTCATGTTATTTTTAAGAAGTTTCAACCAATATTTTTACATCTTTTCAAGGATCCTGCGCTTAACCCGCCGCGCGTAAAAACCTCAAGAAAGCAAAAGCGCGGACCCTGCACCACGACGGACATTTTTGATTTTTGTTGGACTCTATTTGTTCAAGTGAAGTCTGAGTTCTCTGGAATATCAGATGATTTGGTGAATAGTTACCACCTACTCCTTTCCTGTATAGATTATATACACGCAAACGCTGTCATAGGAATGTTTAAACATCAAAAGATAATTTTAAAAAAAAAACATAAAGGGTTAATTAGTTCTATGATGCAATAAATTTATTTATGACGTACGAATATTATTAGTTTCATTAAAACTACTTTTTAACATACTTTTTTCAAACAAACAGAAGAATTTTCGTCTTTGATTGCTAATCAATTCTGGTTTGTACTTAACATGTCCTTTATTGTAATTATAATTCTAATCCAGATTTGTTTGGTTTTCAATGTTTAATTTTTCCTCTAGACCAGAGAAACGATCTCCTTCAGGTGAAGGTAGAAGAAGATGCTCCTGGTGTACCTTGTATCCTGGAGAAACTGTGCTCTGAGCACGAGGGTATACTGAGCGAGGTTAAGTCTATCCGGGAGCACTACTGGAAACCCTACATCAAGAAAATGTTTGACGAGAAGATCCTGCGTGGAGACGAGGAGAACCTTGCTGGTATCCTGGACAAGGAAGTGTTCGAGGGGAACCTCAAGAACATCAGAAAGGAGTACGAGGTCTACGTCCTCAATATCGGGGAGTACGACGAGAGGGTCTTTGTCGGTGAGGAGGCAAATACAGAAATAGGGACTCCGACGAAAGGGATCGGAGGAGGGATTAAAGACTCCGCCCTGGCTGATAAACTAGGTGTGGCAAGGCGGAACCTTTATGACGAGTTTAGCGGAGCTAGTCTGATTCCGAGTACACCTCTTTCCGGTAGACATTATCTCAGAGCAAGGTTGGCACTAAATAATAAAATATTTTTTAAATTATATTAAATTAAGAACACGTTATATCGTCCTGAAAGTTTTATTTAATAATGTTTATTTATGAAAACTATTATTTTAGAGAACAGCAGTTATCTACACCTATTAGTCAGGCCACATACCTTGTATCTAAATTGAATAAGGTAATTTTTATTTTTCTACTTCTCAAATTGTCCTCGCAAAATTATATCTTTAAAATTTATACTTTTGTTTAATCTGTAAAGCCCAAATTACCCTCCTGCCTGATTCACATAGTTACCTTAGAAACCTCTGATCAGCAAGGTGGAAAATGTTCTTCAAGCTGGAAAAGTGTTTAGTTTTTTTCAGAAGAAGAAATTCGGAAGTGGCTTTTTAGAAAAAGAGAAACCACTAAATTTTCAATAAGAAAATGGATAAATCATGAAATTTGTTATCAAACAAAATCTTTTAGGGTGTCGTTGTGAATCAGACATGTCAGTTTTCAACGGAGAGACACAGTCTACGGTCCCTTAAAGCCTTTGAAGAATCAATTTGTTTTTAAAAGAACTTATCCGTCAGTTCTCGATAACAATTTTTATTCTACTTTTAGTTGTATAAATCAACTTTATGATCATCATATTTCTGTTAAGATGATTGCTGGCCGGAAAAATGAACCCGGAGCTGAACTGTTGAATTTGTTTAACAAGTGTAGTCCCAAGATCGCGGAGCAAATTCAAGACAAGATTCGAGCTCTCGGAGTCAAGTTTACGGAGAGGTATACTGCACCCTCCGATAATCATCCCGGGAGTCATGCTAGCTTTGCTGCCATGAGGTTGAGGTTGGGAGAGGTTCTATACTACAGGATCCTGGAGAAGGTTCTAACCTCGGAGCAGAAAACTTCTAAATCTATTGCTATGCTCCTGGAGCAGGACGCATTCCATCAGGTAATATCTGGCAATGATGTTTAAAAGAAGGTTCGAAAATATGGGGGAAATATAAGATTTAAACGGAAAATAAGATAAATTTATGGATCCAACGGATCCGGATCCGAAGCACTGTTTTTAAGAATTATTTTGAAGATCTGGGGGACAAATGAAAAATTGGATATGAGAAGGCAAGTTTTTTCATACTTTTTCATACTTTTTCATACTTTTTCATACTTTTGCATACTTTTGCATACTATTTCATACTTTTTCATACTTTTTATTCCAAAAATTTATTTTCCCTAATCAACGATTAAAACCCTAAATAATATTTTTGCTCAGCGCAAATATGCCTATTGCCTAACTTCTGGGGAAGAAATAATTTTCTAAACAGGGGGGGATGATTTTTCAGAAAATATACACCCCTGGGTAAATTAAAATGAAAAAAGGGACAGAAGAATCTTGCCAGCTGATGTCCAATTTTAATTTTTCCCCATTGTTTTTATTTAAATTTTATATCTCACGGTTCAGTTTTAAGGCTCAAAAATTTAACACGGAAAGTAGCTTTGTTAATATTCTCTGTTCAAGTTCTACCGTTTATATTATTCCTTTTTAAGTTCTGTTTACTCCGTGTATATTTGCTCTGTTTAAGTTGCTGTCTTCTCCGTGTGTATTATCTCTGTTCAAGTTCTGTTTACTCCGTGTATATTATCTCTGTTCAAGTTCTATTTACTCCGTGTATATTTTCCCTGTTCCAGTTCTGTTTACTCCTTGTATATTATCTCTGTTAAAGTTCTGTTTACTCCGTGTATATTATCTCTGTTAAAGTTCTGTTTACTCCGTGTATATTTTCTCTGTTCAAGTTCTGTTTACTCCGTGTAAATTTTCCCTGTCAAGTTCTGTTTACTCCGTGTATATTTTCCCTGTTCAAGTTCTGTTAACTCCGTGTAAATTTTCCCTGTTCAAGTTCTATTTACTCCGTGTTTATTATCCCTGTTCAAGTTCTGTTTACTCCGTGTATATTATCATTGTCCAAGTTCTGTTTACTCCGTGTATATTTTCCCTGTCAAGTTCTGTTTCCTCCTTGTATATTTTCCCTGTTTAAGTTCTGTTTACTCCGTGTATATTTTCCCTGTTCAAGTTCTGTTAACTCCGTGTATATTATCCCTGTTCAAGTTCTGTTTACTCCGTGTATATTATCCCTGTTCAAGTTCTGTTTACTCCGTGTATATTATCCCTGTTCAAGTTCTGTTTACTCCGTGTATATTTTCCCTGTCAAGTTATGTTTCCTCCTTGTATATTTTCCCTGTTTAAGTTCTGTTTACTCCGTGTATATTTTCCCTGTTCCAGTTCTGTTTACTCCTTGTTTCCTCCTTGTATATTTTCCCTGTTTAAGTTCTGTTTACTCCGTGTATATTTTCCCTGTTCAAGTTCTGTTTACTCCGTGTATGTTTTCCCTGTCAAGTTCTGTTTACTCCTTGTATGTTCTCCTTGTATGTTTTCCCTGTTCAAGTTCTGTTTACTTCGTGTTTATTTTCCCTGTTCAAGTTCTGTTTACTCCGTGTATATTTTCCCTGTCAAGTTCTGTTTACTCCTTGTATATTTTCTCTGATCCAGTTCTGTTTACTCCGTGTATATTAGCTTAGCGTTAAGGTTCTGTCACTCTATTTATAAATTTCATGTGTTCGGGATCTTTTAACTCCGTGTTATATTAAACCAATGTGTTTAGGTTCTATTCACTGCTTGTCTTGAGATTGTGATATTTTCTTACAACAGTCAGCGAACCTTCCCTTGGATCCTTGACACCTTCCAGCTAGAGGGATATCAGTTTTACAAGGTTATTGAGATAATTATCAGGTTAGCATACTTTACGTATATCCGGGCTCCGTTAGGGGTATTTTTAATCAGGATTTTCCGCCTTGCTAAGTGTTCACTTTCTATTTCATGCCCCAACCCTTTTTCTTCCACTATATTGTTTCATTTTCTGATATTTATCTCCAGGTCTGAAGATGGACTTGCCAGGGATGTTGTTAAACACCTTCAGCGGATAGAGGAACAGATTCTAGAATCAAGAGCTTGGATTTCATCGTCTCCTATCTGGGACGCAATCAGGTGAAATTGCTAACTCCCTGGGTTGGCTTAATTAAGTAGTTTTTTGGTTTCAATATTTTTAGGAGATTTTTGCAAACAAGCACGAATATATAAAATGTTTTATTTTTTGATATTTATTTTTGTGAAAGGAGTCCTAATTATATTTTTTAAGATTAAGTGAATTTGGAGTTCCAAGTTGTGAAGACGTATCTCTTCCTCTTCAGGATAGCTCTGCACTAGGCCAATCCCCCCTTTCGCATCATAGATCCTTCACTATACGGTCTCCTCTTACAGGAGATAGGTAATATATAGATCCTTCACTAAACGGTCTCCCCTTACAGGAGATAGGTAATATATAGATCCTTCACTATACGGTGTCCTCTTACAAGAGATGGGTAATATATAGATCCTTCACTATACAGTCTCCCCTTACAGGAGATAGGTAATATATAGATCCTTCACTGTACTGTCTCCTCTTACAGGAGATAGGTAATATATAGATACTTCACTTTACAGTCTCCCCTTACAGGAGATAGGTAATATATAGATCCTTCACTATACGGTCTCCTCTTACAGGAGATAGGTAATATATAGATCCTTCACTATACGGTCTCCTCTTACAGGAGATAAGTAATATATAGATCCTTCACTGTACTGCCTCCTCCTACAGGAGATAGGTAATATATAGATCCTTCACTATACGGTCTCCTCTTACAGGAGCTAGGTAATATATAGATCCTTCACTATACGGTCTCCTCTTACGGGAGATAGGTAATATATAGATCCTTCACTATACAGTCTTCTTTAAAGGAGATAGGTATTGTCAAGGAGATATTGAATGGAAGGAGGGGGCGATAGGGTTTCCGTATACTTTGCTGTGACGTTTTTGGACTGCTGAAGAACTAGTTTTTGCGTAATAAATGTTACGCAAAAACTAGTTCTTCAGCAGTCCAAAAACGTCACAGCAAAGTGTACGGAAACCCTATCGCCCCCTCCTTCTATTCAATTCTCCTTGGGTTTTGTAATACATAGAGAGTAGATACTTACTGCAAGTAATCATATTTCCCCATAAAGTTTGCATCTCTCTTTTATTCACTCCATTAAATCAGTTTAACAGAAATACAAATTGAATTGAATTATATTTAGGTTTAAGTCCCCAGTTGTTACTGCGCTTGCCCGAAGGCAGCTCTTCTCTGGTGGCTCCGACACTATTCAAGCCGTACTCAGTGTAATACCTTCCTCCAGTGGTATCCAACACTCGTCTATCTCTGTATCCTCTCCATCCTCGACTCATAGATCTATAGTCTACTCTCCCATGAAGAAACCGTTAGTATCCGTCCCTGCGCCTGGTTCTGCTAAACCTGGAGCTCCGTCCGGTAAATCTAAAAGAACAGGCTCCCTGAGTTTATTTATGAGAAAGGTGTATAACCTTGCAAACCTTCGTTTGGAGACTCTCTGCAACTCTATGCAGGTAAATGATATTTCGCCATCTTCTACATAGTAAAGCTCTTTGATTATATATTTATATGTCAGCCATACCTGGCCAAACGGCTAAACCAAACTTGTTGAATTTGTGGAGGGAATCCATAGATACCCTATGGGGGTAACGAAAGCAAAAAAATCAATTAAAAAAAAGATAAACTCTGAATAACAGGTTTGGTGAAATTATGATATTCTAGATGGAATTCTTATCACATTTATTTTCTGTAAGACATAAATCCAAAATATTTATAAGATGTGTGAGTTCATAATTTTTAGTTGGTGGACGAAGAATTACGGCGACGGATCTGGACCTGTCTGGAGTATACACTGATGACTCATACTACATTGATGAAGGATCGACACCTGGACCAGCTGATCATGTGCAGTCTTTATATCGTCTGTAAGGTAGGTTCTTCAACATTCTTATAAAGCATAATTTGTCAAGTTGATTTTATGACACAGTGTTCTGGAAGGAAAATATGTTATTTTCTTTTGACATTTTGAAAGATATCGCCAAAACGTACATTTTGTGATATGTCTGCCTTTTTCTTAATGCAAACAATTCACATATTTGTAATTTTTATTGACACTTTTCAGTTCTTTAATTTCATTCATATCTTTTATGTGATTGTAAAATGTACAGTGTTCATTTTCAATGTTCAATTCAAATATTTATATTCTTACAAGAAATAATTGATACCAATTTAAAAGTTATTTTTCATTGATTTGAAAGGTTTCTTCCTAAATTAGGATCCATTTAATTTTGATTCGGATCGAGCTCCTGTAGTAAACTAATTTTCAAAATTAATTTTCTCATTTTTTGGCCTACTATTATGTAGTTTTGCTTTAAAATTTGATGATTAGGAAAGTTTTAATGATATCTCATTAGTTCAAGCTGAACTGTGTGTTGTGAGACAATTTGATGGATATATTAACATTTGGGCCCGGATCCTTGGATCCGCAAATTTTTTCGGATTCGGATCCGTGTCCTAAGGACTGGAACTTATTTCATTTATGACTATCAACATGTATATTAATGATCAGTTCAACCACTTGGATTAATTTTTAAAAATTATTTTTAAGGTTTCTGGTCGGGGTAATGACAAGAACTTCACAGACATAATGCAACACTATAGAAACCAACCTCAAGCTGCTAGCCACGTTTACAGATCTGTCCTTCTCAAATCCTCCTGTACAGAGTCTGTACAGGACCTGGAGCAGAGGGTTGAGATGAACCAACCACCGCCTACTCCGACTAGGATGGCGAATACGAGTACTGTTGGGACGGACGGAGTAGAACGGGGAGATCTCATCAAATTTTATAATACAGGTAACATTGGATTTCTCTGGACAATCGTTGATTTTTTTGCATTCACTCTTTCTGTTTGATGGGAGGCGGGGGTGGGGGGCAAATAATAATGATTGTATTAATCAAGAATTACCATAAACGGACTGTAGAATCAACTTTAAGTAACTTCATTTAAATAGTAACTTTTCCCATTAACTACAATAGTTTTCTTTAATCCTATATCGGAGAAAATAGTAAGGAACGTATCGTCGCATTCTCATCTTGGATAGTGTTCAATTTGCAGTCTCCTTTACTGTCATTTATTTTCTAGTTAAAAATCAATTACATCTCTGTCTCCTTGATAAACTCATTCTCGACCAGACCAAGGTTTAAAACGTATCGTTGTAAATTAGACATGATGATCGATTGAAATTACGTCTATATTCCCAAGAACAATATCTCCATCTTGACAAATTTAACTGTGAGAATGTTTATTAATATAATAATATGATTTTGTTTAGTATATATGGAGAAGATGCAAGAGTTTGCTCTACGGTTCAGACGACCAGCCAGTCTACCACCCCTCTCTCCTCTACCAGTTCTCCGAGCTAACCCTGCCTCCCCCTGCAGGAAGGTTTCGGATAACCACTCTCTGTTTATCCGAACCTTGAAACCAAACTCGAATATTCCCTACACTTCTCCCATGAAACCTCTCTCCTACAGCTTCAGCAATAGTCCTGCCAAGGTGGAGAAATATTTATAGCTATATAGTTATATCTGTATATAATAGAAAATTCTTGTCTGTTTGTTTGTATTTCCGATGATAAGTCCTAAACTCCTTAACCGAATTTCCTCAAATTTTGATTGGGCAAATCGGTAGAACCACAGGAATGTTCTTAGCTCGGTTTAAAAATTCTTAGCTGAGTGGGTTGACTTTTATAGTGAAAGGTTAGTTTCTTGGTAAAGCTGTATTCTCAAGCTAGTTGTTTATATTGAAATCGTTTATGAGATTTATAATTTTATCTTTTAGGATCTGCTCGCAATAAACGAGATGGTACGGAAAGAAGGCGGACGTAAGGTTGGTAAACGTCTACTTGTGGACGAAGGAGACGATAAGACGGACGAACCGGCAACTAAACTTCTCATCAATGATCCGTCCCAACCGAGACCCCGCATGATGGAGATTATGCTGGGGGATAGATAAAAATGGTTGCAAAATTTTGAAAAATTTATTTATTATCAAGGAAACATACAAAACGCTTAATAACTGAAACTATATGTAAAATTATGGTATTTCGAACCCAATGATTATTTTTCTACATATTTACAAACAACTGTATGTAAACATTATTTTTATGTTAAAAATAAAAATTTAAGAACATTAGTAGACACTCTTTTTGTGACAGGATGTACTTTCAAATGTGAATGATTGATAGGTCGTAAAAGAATACCTTTTTATAGTGAAAAGTTTTCCTTTTTCCGTCGAAGAATTATTATTTCTAATTCAATTCGTTTTGTATAATATTTTTAGAAGAAGAATGGTGATTCAGCAATCGTGCACACCTGCAGTGACTAGTGTTCGCAATTAGTTTGTCTTTTGTCGGGTAGCATATTCGTACGAGGCGGCAAATTTTCCGAATGATCACAATTTTTTGTTAATATCTTTTAATTTGGCATATTACAATAAGAAGTCGGGTATATAATTCTGGATGTTTGACAAACTTTTATGTCGGCTTGTCGGAGCCTAAATGTTTGCAAGGTTATGTAAACCTACTGCTTTAAAAATTCTGAACAGTTCGCAGAACGAATTATAAAAAAAAACATCCAAATAAATTTTAAAAAAGAATACAAATTTATTAAAATATATTTCATTACAAGAATAGATATATAAGTTACAATTGACATATGGCCTAATTATAGTGTTTTAAATCAACATGATCAATAATATAGAGAACATCGAATTAACAGACTCAGCGCAATACGTCTAGCTAAGTAATAAATATATTGTTAACAGGAAAAGCCTACACATGAAAGGTATTTGTTGTTACGAATGTTTAACAAAATAAAATGCTGCATAAGTCAGATTACGGTGGTCAAGAAAATATAAATCTACGGCTGGACAATGTGTAAGGTTAGAGATGAAATGGAACTGTTTGGCAGGCTGCAGCCAGGTTTCGAGATATCTCGCAATTCTCCGGTTTAGGCCTGAAAACAAATTAATATCAAAGGATGAACAGTGAACTGGTTTAAGGAGTTGTCTAACAAACTTTTGCTTTGAGAAGCTATAAGATATTTAGCAAAAAAATATTTGCTGAATAAAAATAATGCTCTTTAAGAGTTAAAGGTCGTCATTATTATTTATCATTTAAGTGAAAAAGGCGGGAATTGCCTGTAAGAAAATCTACCTGAAAGTATCCACGCATTCTACCGGTATTCTGTGGTACTCCATGGAGACCCCGGCGTCGGAGATGGTGAGCTTGATGATGGTGTGAAGAGGGATTTTGAGATATGGTAGTTCAGCCAGGTTTCCTTCCAGTAAACACGTCAACATACATCTAAACCAGTTAGATGTGTGTATTGTACTGTACTGTACTGATAAAAAAAGAAAAATTTCTGGAGCAGCGAATAATAATAATAACGAATGATTTTGATGTGATCGAGCGTGATTCGCTTAAAAATTAAATCAAAATGCTGAATTTTTAAAAAGTTTAAATGTTTCTGTTACTATACATCGGCCCATAAAAAAGTAATTTGAATTCCTAAACCCCTATCGAACAAATCGAATTCTTAGACCCCCATCAAAAATTTGAATTCTTTAAACTTTTTGAACTATTTATTTAAAATCCCCCTTTGTTTTGGGAGTCTTGGGAACAAGCATTATTCTCCATCTTATGCAGATCTACAGATTAATTTAATTCGTCTTCGATTACTCGTGATAGGCATACCCTACAGGCAGTGCTTAGGATCTATTTAATTTTGATGCGGATCCGGATCCTGGATCCGCATGGAAAAAAATGGATCCGGATCCAGGTCATTTCTTTAAGATCTACTGAATTTTTTTAACAAAATATATTTTTTTTTTCAAAAGTTCAGATTTTAGTTTTAGGAGTAAAAAAGTTTTTTTTTTGAGTTTTTGGTTGATATTTTACCCCTTGGATCCGGATCCGTATATTTTTGCGGATCCAGGAAGCCAAAATCTTGCGACTCCAACTGAGTTATCAAGCATTGATCATCACAAACTAATTGGATACTGAGATAAAGTGTTCAAGATTATCAATATCAATATCCAAAGTTCCGAAACCTGATACCTGAGAGTTGCTTGATGAGAGATGATAAGAATATTATCTTCAAGTTCTAGTTCCGCCATCATAGGTTTCAACCTCTTTACAACATCCATATAACTCTCTCCCTGGTCATATTTTTAATTAAAAAGATCAAATACTAAACTACCAGAGGCGGTGGGAAATTTAGTCAAAAAAATTTCAATTTCTGAAATCAAATTTGCAATCTCTCAATTCTCCCCCCCCCCTGGAAAATATCGTTAGCTGTCCCTGGAACAACGATTTTCAACAGAACCCTTGAAAAACTTTGACAGGAAAAAATTTCAAGAATCTCAGTTTTGCTCTTTGAATTGCTTTATAGAAATCCGGCGGCCTGGGAATATCAAATTTTGGATAAAAAAATATTTATCCAACATCGATTCTTTAACAGGGGTGTAAGGATTTCAGTTGTAATAATAAAGAGGGTCTCATAAAATAGCGAAAACTGTAGTTTCTGCCCTGGATTCTCAGAGAAGGGTTTACCTTTGGATATCTATAGTTGAGTTTATCTCTGTCTCTGAGAGCAAACTCTACTGGAAAGTTTGCTGCTATATCCTCGTATGTCATGTTATCATGCTCCCCGGAGTTAATCTCATCGATCTCGTGTCTGATCTCCTAGAAAATCATCAACAAGGTTAGAACAATTAAGAAGGTCCAAGTACCAGGTTTGCTTTGGAAAAGACTTTTTCCACTTTATTATCCTGACCAAAGCTATTTTTCGATTTCTTTTTCATCCTTACCCCCACCCTCACTGAAGTTTATACTGTTCTACTGCATCAGAAATATCACTTTCTTATTTTCGTTTTAAAAGGAGTGTTTAGCTAGACATGGTAGTCGAGCTGAGAATGCAGTAAAAACGTCTCATGGGTCTCAACTCTACAAAAATTTGCTTAATTACCATGTCTAGCCAGACACTCCCTTTAATCTACAATCACCTTTTGCTCCTGGAAAGCCAAGAAAAAAATCACTATTCATGAAATGAAAGCTCACCTTTTGTGCTTGTACATATTGTGCTGTTTGCTGAGTCCTGTGTAGTCTTGAGGTTATCACCTGAACAAAATATTGTTTTTTAAGGTAGTAAAAAATGAATAGGCAGATTTTAACATTTTAAATGTTGTTTTTTTTCTTTTTTCTCAGAATGAAAGTCTGCTAACTATCCATAATGGGAATGGTTTCTAGAAAACTGTGGGTTCCGAATGATGTCCCCCTCACAATGAACTACATAGAGGCTTTCAGTCATTCGTATAATTTACTTCAGTTTGGCGTGCTCTGTTACCTTATGACAGGGTTGTGGAAGTGTATTGATATAGTATCCTAGAGCTCGAGCATATTGCTCTCCTCTGGAGGATAGATCCGCGTCTCCTCCGATCCGTCCAAATAGATTGTTCTCACTCTCTCCATGTCTACTCAAGTAGATGGTTCGAACCTTATCCCTAAACAGGAAGCAGTAAACCATCAATACCGATCAAGCCTTAAAGAGACTGTCGACGTAATTTACCATTAATGCTGATCAAGTCTTAAAGAGGCTGTTGATGTAATTTACCATAAATGCTGATCAAATCTTAAAGAAACTGTCCTCGTAATTTACCATTAATGCTGATCAAGCCTTAAAGAGACTGTTGAAGTAATTTACCATTAATGCTGATCAAGTCTTAAAGAAACTGTCCACGTAATTTACCATTAATGCTGATCAAGCCTTAAAGAAACTGTTTAAGTAATTTACCATTAATGCTGATCAAGTCTTAAAGAGACTGTTGAAGTAATTTACCATTAATGCTGATCAAGTCTTAAAGAGACTGTTGAAGTAATTTCCATTAATGCTGATCAAGCCTTAAAGAGACTGTTGAAGTAATTTACCATTAATGGTGATCAAGTCTTAAAGAGAATGTTGAAGTAATTTACCATTAATGCTGCTCAAGTCTTAAAGAGGCTGTTGATGTAATTTACCATAAATGCTGATCAAGTCTTAAAGAAACTGTCCACGTAATTTACCATTAATGCTGATCAAGCCTTAAAGAGACTGTCGACGTAATTTTATCACCAATGCCTATTAAGCCCTAAAGAGACTAGACTGTTGACTTAATTTAAAGTGAACATTTAAAGAAATACATGTTCGATCGACAACAATACCGCTTAAATTCACGTATTTCCCTGGACAAAAATTTAAGAACCATTCTAGTTTATCTCTCTTAAAATTGAAATTCAGCAATGCAGTTTCTCAATTGAAATTACTCCCAGATTTATGTTGCAGAGATAAGGAAGGAAATTTCAGTTTCTTGATTGAAATTACTCCCAGATTTATGTTGCAGAAACAAGGAAGGAAATTGCAGTTTCTCAATTGAAATTACTCCAGGATTTATGTTGCAAAAACAAGGAAGGAAATTAAGAAATTAATCTTTATTCAATATAAAAAGAGTGATATCTTCCTGATGATACTAGAAATAGGTTTCATGGATCCCGCTGTATTTGGGCATGTAACTCCTTCATTGGAAAGTCAATTAAAATTATATCCCTTAATTTGTTTATCCTTACAAATATATCTTAAATTAATAACTTATTAAGTGAAATGATTCTTGGACTATTCCAAACCATATCTTGATTCTAATGGTCGTCGTCTTCCTATTTCACAGTTTTATGGATTCCACCGTAAAAGTATAATTATAGTTAACAAGTAAAATGTTCACCTATTAATGGGATTATCCAGTAGTTCTGATGAGCAAGGAGGCATCCTAACCGTTCTTCTTTACTCAGAGTAGAAAACTGAACAAATCTAGGATTACTCTATACTCTCTACTGCAGTAGAAAACTGAACAAATCTAGGATTACTCTCTACTCTCTACTACAGTAGAAAACTGAACAAATCTAGGATTACTTTCTACATGTTGAAACAATTAGCCCATAAAATGCACTACAGTTAAATTAACCTCCAAGGTTTTCAGTTTTTAACTCAATAATGCACACAAGTATTTAGGAATAAAAACTCTAAATAATATTTGTGAACGCTAACAGACTAAAAAAAATGGCGACACACAATTAAACAAAAACACAATTTTGTGTTTGAGGCTTGTCTTAGTCGTTAAATGACAGAAACTGATTAATTGCATCAAACCTTATTTTTCTAAAGATTTACATTTCTAACTTTGACTAAAAAAGAAGCAAGGCAAAAAAGAAGAAAAAATAATTTTTGTTTAAGATTTCATGTCCATGGACTAACATAGCGAGCTAAAGATATAAATCCAACAAATGAATTATTTATTAATCTAGATCTTTTAAACAAGGTCAAATTTTAGATCAATGTCATTGATTTATTGATTTAAAACAATAATAAGTGACCTTGATTCGCAACGGTACCCTACAATGTTTTGTCTCAATGATGACGATAGCCTAAAGTTTTTACATTTGAAAATCAACAATTTTCAATTGTGATTCCTCTATGAAGTGAGTGTAGGATTTACGCACGGAGGAATAAAGGAGAAAAATTAACCGAATTTAACACTTTTTAAGATAGAAAATTGACGCTATGTTCCTCATAGAAGTATAGAAAAAAGGTTCGTAGGGTACCGTGGTGAATAAGACATGAAAACTTATCAAATGGTTAGAAAGTCTCTCAAAATTATTTTTTTGTCTTCACCTTTTGTTGTATGATGTGAACTGAAATGTGAATGTTGTGTACGCGCTAGCTGTACAATCTGCAGTACACTATCAGATGTAAACATCCACTGTAACCTCAGATATTCTCTCAATGCTCATTACAGGTAAATCTGCAATTTAAAAAGTGTTATTTATATTAAACCCAACTGATTAATGTTTTAATAAAACATTTGTTTTTATAACTTTACAACAGTTTACAGTCTACATTGATATTTATGTATATAAGCTACAGCATGCTGTTTAATGGCATGCGTGTATGAACGCATGCCAAAACTCACGAATTTGAGTCTCGTATTTATTAGTACTGTCCCAGGAGCACATTTAGCACTGTTTTGCGTTGCAGCCTCGGAGAAATAAAACGAGGTTATATAACTCAAACTTCCCATCCTCCGAGGGCCCCCTCCCCCCCCTCTCCTCCTCCATGTTCAAGGTCTCTACCCATCACAATATCGGAGTTAAAGATAAGGTTCAGAAAATCATGTATAATCTATCATTTATAATCCTATCTTAATCCGTTCGTAATAATCCGTTTATCTTATAATATGTTAAAATAGTAACTACTAATCTATAATTTACATAATCCCCTTAGTAATCCTCCATTTTTTATTCCTATACGTTATTCAAACCTTTTCTTTTCTTCTTTGCTTAAAAATATTCTTGGAAAAAGTTGAAAAAATAAATATTAATTTCCCTTTTTTCAACAGTTAGCCGCTCTTAATGGTGTGAATAATAAATGCCGAAAGTACAAAGAGTTGTGGCGCGGTAAAGAGAGACGCTGCTTCTACTAAACTAATTTTAAATCAGCTGAGTTCTGACCGCTGGCGCTGGGCTAGGGACGCTGAAGGTTAAACCGGGGGAGGGGTGTCAGGGGGGTACAGGGATAGATTTAGAAAGAGGGGCGAATTCTAACATTTAATTACAACTAAAAATAATTACAAGATAAAAATTTGATTTAGATTGAATCTAAAAAAATTGTAATTTAGTTCAACAAATAAAAATGTAGTTTTGTTAAACAATAAAAAATGTAGTTTAGTTAAACATTAAAAAATGTAGTTTAGTTAAACAATAAAAAATGTAGTTTAGTTAAGCAAAAAAATGTAGTTTAGTTAAACAATAAAAAATGTAGTTCAGTTATACAATAAAAAATGTAGTTTAATTAAATAATAAAAAATGTAGTTTAGTTAAGGAAAAAAATGTAGTTTAATTAAACAATAAAAAACGTAGTTCAATTAAACATTAAAAAATGTAGTTTAGTTAACCAATAAAAAACGTAGTTTGATTAAACAATAAATAATGTAGTTTAGTTAACCAATAAAAAATGTAGTTTAATTAAACAATAAAAAATGTAGTTTAATTAAACAATAAAAATGTAGTTTAGTTAACCAATAAAAAATGTATTTTAATTAAACAATAAAAAACGTAGTTTAATTAAACAATAAATAATGTAGTTTAGTTAACCAATAAAAAATGTAGTTTAATTAAACAATATAGTTTAGTTAACCAATAAAAAATGTTGTTTAATTAAACAATAAAAAACGTAGTTTAATTAAACAATAAATAATGTAGTTTAGTTAACCAATAAATAATGTAGTTTAGTTATCCAATAAAAAATATAGTTTAATTAAACAATAAAAAATGTTGTCCAACAATTGAAACAAGATAATGATATTCAAAGATTTTTTTCTTCAGTTTAATCAAAGCAAAAGATTGTATTTAAAAACATTACCGACTTATGATTCTACAATTTATGGGGATTTTATGTTACATACATATGTGTTTTTGCATAAGAAGAATACCGTTTAGGCTCTGCGAACTTTTTCTGATATCTGTATGTTTTGATTGAAGACCAAGTCGGTCTTTGGAAATGCTGGTAAAGTTAAATTCAAAAACTTTTATACAAAGTAGAGATTCAAATGTGTGTAACATTGCACATGGTGAATAACAAACTGAGCTTTAACTCAAGATGGGGCTGGCTTGAAAACTGACTTAATGCAAAAAAGCGGAACATTTCATCAGAATTTAGGCAGAAGTCTTAGAGAGCTAGTATGTTTATCTACAATAGGCTTGAGAAAACTAAAATTAACAATGCACGATCTGAAACTGAAGAAAATATCCATCCTAAATATCTGACATGAAAGAAAAACATTCTGTCTAAGAAGTTTTTTTTTCTGTTTTTCTTATTATTTCTTTTTAAAGATTTGCCCGATGGTCTAGTCCTATAAAACTTTTTGTTTGTTATTTTACTAATTGTTTTAATTAATGCAAGATTAAAAATAAAAAAAAGATAATATTATGGCAGGATGTTTTTAATCAGCGCAGTAAATAGTAGTTCATTTAAGACAGATTCAGATCCAATATTTTTTAGATTAGAACTTCTCCTTCCAACTTCTTTCCATGATTTGTTTAATTCTTCAGCTAAACCAAAACGAACAAAACGGATTTTCTTTCAACCACTAAAGAATGTTTTCATCCGCTATTTTATTTATTTACGACTCTTAGTCGCTTAAAATGGACCAACCAATTAAAACAACGTACTCTGGTTAGGCGGGTCCAAACTGCACAGTAAATTGTGATCTTTTATTTGTATTATCTCGTGCTTGGAGTCGAACCAAAAATAAATATGAATAATATTTGTATGTTGAATCCCACCATTCTGGAACATGAAGTATAGGTCAAAGTTCTTCAGTTTAAAAAAATCAAACACATTGGAAATATTTTTTGACACATTATAATTTGTGGAAATTGACCTTTGATATTCTGAAATATCATTTAATGCTTTAAACAAATGATAAAATTACGATCTAGGTCGCCGGCTTTTTTTATTGAGTTCAGAACTGAAGTAATTTTTTCTTCTCAATTAAAGAAAACTAGATTAGAAAGGAACTGATTACTCGCCACAAACTCGAATTTCCAAATCCCATATCTTTATAACCTGATGAAATTTAAAATATTAATTTCTGAATGCAAACATATAGGCATTAGAAAAGTAGATTTTATGGTGAGTAATCAATTTCTCAAAAAAAACTACGTTAATATAAAAAATTGCGAGTTTCTATAGAAGAAAGTGTTGTCAAATTGGGTCGTTTTTCATCATTAAATGCCCCCCCTGAATTCTGGTTTGCCTGAAAAAAATTATTATTCTCTAGTAGATTTTGGCAAGCAGGTCACCTTTTAAATACGTGAGGATTGTATGATTTCTTCTAATGCATTTAATTCAGTTTAGCCGGAGAGATGCTTTCTGTTCAGGAAACTTCGAAGAACTAAAGATTCTAAAGATGAACTCAGAGAAGTCACCAGAAAAATCAGAACATGACACGATCATCGTTTACATTCATCACGGATGGATCACATTAGGTAGAGATTGATCATAGACTACATTAATTACAGACAGAGAATATCAGGTCTAGTTTGTTCATAGACTAAATTCATCACAGTCGGTGCACATTAGGTCTAGTTTGATCATAGACTATACTAATCAAAGACGGTGCACATTAAGTCTAGTTTGATAGTAGGATTTATTTATCACCGACAGAGAATATCAGGTCTAGTTTGATCATAGGCTACATTAATCAAAGACGGTGCACATTTATCATAGACTGCATCAATCACAGAAGGTGAACATTAGGTCAAGTCAGATCATAGACTTCATTCATCACAGACGGAGAATGTCAGATCATAGACTACATTCATCACAGACGGAGAATGTCAGGTCTAGTTTGATCATAGACTACATTCTAATCTGGCAATAAAGTATATGATCTATGAATGAGACTAAAGAAGCTGCCCCCTCTGTAAAGTATATAATCTATGAATGAGACTAAATGATCTGCCCCCGCTGTAAAGTATATAATCTATGAATGAGACTAAATGAGCTGCCCCCTCTGTAAAGTATATAATCTTTGAATGAGGTTATATAATCTGCCCCCTCTGTAAAGTATTTAATCTATTATTGAGACTATATGATCTGCCCCCTCTGTAAAGTATATAATCTATGAATGAGACATTATGCTATGCCCCCTATGTAAAGTATTTAATCTATTATTGAGACAATATTCTCGGCCCCCTCTGTAAAGTATTTAATCTATTATTGAGACTTTATGCTCTGCCCCCTCTGTAAAGTATTAAATCTATTGTTAAGACTAGATGAGCTGCGCCCCCTCTGTGAAGTATATAATCTATGAATGAGACTTTATGATCTGCCCCCTCTGTAAAGTTTAACTCTATAAATGAGACTATATTCTCTGCCCCATCTGTAAAGTATATAATCTATGAATAAGACTAACTGATCTGCCCCCTCTGTAAAGTTTAAACTCTATGAATGAGCCTATTGTGCCAAGCCCCCAGCTCCTAAATGTCTAGTCTACTCACTCTAAGTTACAGGGTTCTGTTTCTAGGCAAATCTTTAGGATTTTTCTAGATTTAATCAGTTTCTTATTTTAGCACTGCTCAGACAGCTCAGAACACTTCATCGAGTTAGCAACTCAAGGCTTCGACAATTGAAGGCTTTTTGATTAAACTAATTTTTTTAAATAAAAAATTTGCCAAACCGGGAATTTAAAAAAAGATAAAATAAAAATAAAAATTTTATCTGAAAAAAAAGAATTTTTTTCTTCACTCCCTTGCATTGACATAAAAATGAGATTTATTGAACTGTTAAATATTTATATGTGTTCTTCAGATTCTAAGAAATGAATTAATTGAGAACAAAGGTCCAAGGTTCATGTTTGTTTATACAGAGAAAGGACAAATAACGGATATTTGATATGATTAATAAGTAAATGTATTGAACGCCAAATCAGTGGGCCGAAAACTAAGATTGAAAATGGTTTCCAGGAGGGGGGGGGAGAGAGAATCCATTCTATGGAACGTTAAAAAAGTCTAAACCCTGCCCCCCCCCTGTACTGAATTAAACGAACAATTTAATAAATAAAAATTAAATTATAGAACAGTTTTTTAAAGTGGATGTAGTGTTGATGTTGCTAAGGCCATATTAGGGAGGGAACCCCCGGACGCCATGAGCCTCTGCTATGCAGACATCGAGCCTCCCAGATTCGCTAGGCAGACTGAGCCTGAACTACACAGACAAAGCCTACGCTATGCCTCCACCATACAGCACAGCTATTTTTAAATCTTGGTTTTTATGAGTGATGAAAACATTTAACATTTTTTTTTGACGTAGTGGCATAAGAATTTTACTAAAGATTAAAGTTGTTTATTGATTGTTGTGATTCGAAACATATATGGACTCATAAAGTGGTTTATAAGATTTATATTAAAACTATAAACATTTCTTACGGAGAAAGGAAGATATTTAAAGAAATATTTCTAGAGTAAACTTGGTTTGTTTTGTTGTAATCTTTGATTTAAACAATACACTTTTTTTGAAAAATGTTAAGATTTAAATAATAAATACAAATTTTTTAGATTTAATTTGAACTTCAAAAAAAGGTATCGCTAAAATAAAGATTATAAAAGATGAAATGAAATTCAATTTTTTTATCTAAATTTTTCGTGTAAAAAATGTTTAAAATTTTAGATACCACTTTATCAGTCATAAGTAGGCACTATTTATGATAATTAATAAATACTTCTCATCTTAGAGAAGCCTCTCATGCCACTATGTCTAAAATTTTCAAAAAAAATCTTTTATTTAAACTTAAAACACAAGTTTAAAAAAACCTCCTGTATTACACAGGCACATTTTGATGTGTTGCGCATGCTCATTTCTGCAAAGTGGAGGCTTGGTCTGCCTAGCAACTTTGGGAGGCTCATGTCTGCATAGCGGAGGCTCATGGCGTCCGGGGGTTCCCTCCCTCGCCATATAGCGGACTAGATAGCTATTAAAACATGAAAGAAAACAACTTAATTTGTAAAAACCCTTTTTAACATTGTTTTGTTAGAAACTGAAATATATGAATGTTTAAAAAATAACATGATATTTATCACACGACTAATCTAGTCTTTTTTTCAACTATAATTGCTTTAATTTTGAAAAAGAAAAAAATCAGCTGATAGATGAACATTTATAAATGTTAAGTTAGGACGAGACATAGTTTTAGTGAAAGATGCTTTTTAATTGAGCACTTTGGGTTATCATTACTTTGCTATGGTATTATAAATGTAATCTAAAATTTCTCACATCCACACAAAACGCTATTTAATGTAATTTGAAGGGTTGATTTAAAATATTTATACTCAACCGATATTTAATTCTATTCAAAAGACTAGTTTTGGGCACTCCCTAGAGAACTAGTTTATGTTAATAAATCCTTTTATAGGCATAGTCAGTGAGTGAATAACCAAATAAGACCAAATAATTGAGGAAAATGTATGCTGAATCTAAATCTCAAAGGTTATACAGTACATTCATTCAGAGACAAATAGGTCATACTCTATATATCTCTATTCTCAAGAAATATATTTAACTCACCCAAGGAATAAGACGAGAAGGTTTGCTGGATGAGAAGGATTATTTCTGCCGACTAGTTAGACAACTGGTTTCTTTAAACCCTTGTCTGTTCTCTAGGGTACTCGGAGCTAAACTAAACCTGAGAATTATATCATCTTCTTCAATCAAGTATATACTCTATTCTACGTGACCAGGGGTGAATGTACAAATCAAAAAAGAAAAAGTTGAAAATTGTTCAAAATTAGAAAATTTTATTTCAGACTTTAAAAAAATGTTGTTGAATCGATGAATCCCTGTTTACATTTATGAAGGTCAAGAATATAAGACGCACTTCGTATTCGGCAGCATACAATATGAACAAAGTATAGATCAAGATTAAGATTAGACGTATTATTTTATTACATAAACACATTTAAAGGGACTGTAAGCGTAATTTCAAATGACCCTCCATGCAAAGATGGAAAGGCCGGATTAACGGTCCCTTGAAACCTATCTCATCAATAATGTGGAAGATAATGTTGTTTATCTAGTTTTAAATGTTTTTATTTCTGTAAATTCCTATATCTGCTTTCCTGCAGAAAAAATACGCAAGTCACTTTTGAAGAGAACCCACAAATGAAAATGATAATTTTTTGAAATAATAAACATTAATATCGAATTCAAACTTGAGAGGGACACTTGACAATACGTTTACAGTCCCTTTATTGCTTATAGTAATACTACAAGTTATTTAAAATGTAAAACAAATATTCTAATTGACTAAGGTATGGATACCTTGAATTATGATTTAACTCTTGACGTAGGTTGAAAAAAAATATATGTTCAGATTTCATGCGCTATGATGTATAATAAATGTTATTGCCAGCAAGTGTTTTGAAAAATAATATTGAATAGATCAAACAAAAAATGGTTTAAAGGAGGGACATTGCGTATGGTAGTTGAACTGAGAATGCAGTTTTGTAGCGAAATGTTTTAGGATTCATTTGAATTGAGACCATCAGATGTTTTTACGGTGCACATTTGTTCAGCAAGAGCGCAAATTCAATTTTTAAAAAATCCTCCTTCATTGAACATTCTGGAGAGAGGATTTTAAGAATCGTTTTTTTATAATTACTAAATAATAACGACGAAAAATGTGACAAAAATTCTAAAGTAAACTAATTGGATGTTTAGGAACTTATTTCTCAATAGAGATTTGTCAATAAATCAATGTTAGAATGAATTATTACCTAAATAATCATTATATTGAGTTTCTTATTTCTATGAATTTGTTCGCAGATTTCTTCTAATTCTTTAAATGTCGCCTGTTAATTAAAAATTTAATAATATTTTTAAAACTGATTCTCAAAATCATCCCTTCAAAATGGACAATCTGCGAGGATTTTGAAGATTGAAATTGCGCTCTTGCTGAAAAAATATGCACCGTAAAAATGTGTGATAAGTCTCAAATGTATGATGCATGAAAGGTGAATGACTTCGATATATGAATAAAATAAAAACTCATAAGTGCCGGGCGTTGCCCGGGGAATTAAACTTTTTTTTGAATTTTTAAAATCAAAATTTCGAATTAAAATGAAAATTTGAAAAAAATCGATTTTTTATACTATGTTATCCCCAGGAAACCCACATGAGTTTTCTTAAATAATGTTAGCCTATTTGGTCTAGCCGTTTGGCCAGCTATAGTTCTATATAACTATTTATATAAGCGAAGAGCTTTATATTTTATAGATTAAACAATAAACAGCTATCTGAATTTTGCCATCCATCTTAAAGAGATTGTTTACTTATTTATAAGTTACTTTTTAATTTCAGCTGTTAAACACAGTACAGCTGCTACCTACAGGGTGTCCCAATAAACATGGGAATTCAGTGACGAATTCGATATCGTCTTTGTTTTGAATTAACATTGCAAAACCCAATTTGTAAAACCATAAATATTATTATGTCTGCTAGAGTTTATTTAATGAAAACGGTAAATGGCTGTAAAGATGTGTCTATGATGTCTCCGCAAGATGAACAGTGAAGACGGAAAAGTTTACTCTGTTTGTATACTGCAATTTTCTTGTTTTACTTAATTAGTACAATCGTATGCAGTCAAAACAAAAACAAACAAATTGTAAACATAGCAGACGAAAATCTTACGGATTACGTTTTCTCAGTAGGTATCACTATACTAAATCAAAGAATTATTTAAAAAGACGATATCGATTTCGTCACTGAATTCCCATGTTTATTGGGACACCCTCTATAATCAAACAATAAGACATATATTCAATTTTTTTCTGCAATAAAAAAATTAAAAAGTTCAATTAAAATTAAAGGGACCATTCACTTATTTGGGTAATTTCATGGTAAACTAGCTAGGAACTTTTTGCTTCGAATCCAAATAATTTTTTTTTTTAATGGATCATTCTATTTTCAATTCAGTCTTTGTGTGATTAGTTAGCAACCCCTCTTTATTTTTACTCTTCAAAACGTGTTTAAAGAGAAGTAGGGGGGGGTCTAGGGAGACCAAAATCGGGCCAAGTGCACTGTGTGTCGAGTTGTTTATTTGTTCTACTTTTACAAGCCTGAATTATACAGGGTGTCCCAAAAAACATGGGAATTCAGTGACGAATTCGATATCGTCTTTGTTATGAATTAGCATTGTAATACCTAATTTCAAAAGCCATAATATTATTATGTCTGCTAGAGTTTATTTAATGAAAAGGGTAAAAGACTGCAAAGATGTGTCTATAATGTCTCCGCAAGATGAACAGTGAATACGGACA